AATTTACTCTCAGGGCCATCCAGAAAGTTCAGTGGATTAAAGAGCCTGTTTAGACAGGCTCAGGGACCAGGGTTCCATCCCTAGGGTGCCACGTGGGCCCGACTGTGACTGAGACTGGGTGTGCGCCTGTAATCCCAGTGCTTGGGAGGCTGAAAACAGGAGGTTCACTAGGAGTCCAATCTGTATAGTGAGACCCTGTAGACCCTGCAGTAAGTACATTTAAGAAAATTAAAATTTACTTTCGTGGGCCAGGGAGATAGCTCAGTAGAATAAATGCTTTCCTGGCAAGCACAAGGTCCTGAGTTCAATCCCCAGTACCACAAAAAGAAAAAAATAATTTACTTTCATTTGATTTTTTGAAACAGGGTATTTTAGTTACTATGTAATTTAGTCTGGCCTTGAGCTCACTTGGTAGTCCAGACTGGCCTCTAATTTATGGAGACCTTCCTATCTCAGCTTCCCAAGATGTGGATCTCTAGATCTGGCAAATTTATCATTTGAAACTTTTTTTTTCATTTGAAACTTTTTTTTTTCCAGAACCAGGGATTGAACTCAGGCCCTTGCATTTGCCAGGCAAGCACTTATTCTACTGAGCTATCTCCCCAGCCCAAAAGTTATACACTTAATGCCTCTGAGCTGTACACTTTATTTTTTATTTATTTTTTTGTACACTTTAAAATGTTTCAGATGAGGGCTGGGGAGGTGGCTCAGTAGAATAAGCGCAAGGGCCTGAGTTCAATCTCCAGTTTTGCTAAAAAAAAAAAAAAAAAAGTTTCTTTCTTTCTTTCTTTCTTTCTTTCTTTCTTTCTTTCTTCTTTCTTTCTTTCTTTCTTTCTTTCTTTCTTTTTCTTTCTTTCCTTTTCTTTCCTTCTGAGACAGGGTCTCACTGTGTAGTTTCAGGCTGGCCTTGAGTTCAACCACAATGTAGCCAAAGCCTTGAACTCAAGGCAATCCTCCTGCCTCAGCCTCCTGAATTCTGGGATTATAGGTGTGCACCATCATGCCAGGTTTATAACTTTCTTTGATGGGTGCCAGGAGATAGATCAGTAGAATAAGCGCCTGCCTGGCAAGTGCAGGGTCCCGAGTTCAATCCCTGGTACCACAAAAAGCAAACAAAAACAACTTTCTTCAAAGGAACCCAAGAATGCAGAAATGATGCAGAAGAATTATAAAGAATGGGATGGGGGGGTTGAACCACATTCTGTTAATTTTTTTTCCTTCTTCTCTTTCTAATGTACACTTAGGTTCTTCTTGAACCCTTGAAGAGCAGATTGAGACACCGTGTCCCTTTATTCCCACTAGTTCTGGTATTTCCATTTCCTGGGACTGGAGATCTGTAACACTGTGGAATTTAGTGGGTTTTTTTTGTTTTTTGTTTTTTTTAATTTTATTTGTGTGTGTGTGTGTGCGTGCGTGTGTGTGGCCAGCTCAGCCCACGAGGGGACAGGGCTGGCTGGCATGTGGTGCTGGGGGATTGAACCGCGGTCCCTGTGCTTTGCTAAGCTTGTTCTAAGTAGGTGCTTTAGACCACTGAGCCATCTCACCAGCCCCTGGAATTTAGTGTTGATACAACAGTGTGATACCTGATACACTGTGTTCAGTTGTTGCCTGCTGCCCCAGTAATACCCTTCCTACACACCCATGCCCCATTCCAGAATCCTAGGCTGATGCTGCATAGATCCTTTTATTTTTCTTGGGTTTTTGTTTTAATGTATTTAGTACAGGGTCTACAGGGTCTCACTATACAGATCAGACTCGTAGTGATCCTCCTGTGTTCAGCCTCCGAAGCGCTGGGATTACAGGTGCAAGCCATATGCCTAGTCTCAATCTCTGTCTCGGGGTTCCTCGGGGGCAGGACCAGCACAGCGCTGGGGATCTGACCCCCTCCCCCTGCATCTGCCCAAGCAGGTGCTTTAACCCGCTGAGCTACCTGGCCAGCCCTGTTTTTGTGTTGTGAGACTGAGCCTTCCTATTTCTTTCTGGATGATCCAAATCACAGTGATTCTCCTGCCTCAGCCTCTTGAGTGCTGGGATCACAGGTGTCAGCATACCTGGTGCAAACCCTTATTTTATTTTACTTTAATTTCATGGGTTGTTGCTGTTTTCGAGACAGGGACTCGCTGTGTAGTCTGGGCCAGCCTTGAACTCATTGGTCAAAGCCTCTTTTTCCTGAGGCTTCTGCACTCCTCACTTTTCGGAGCTAAAGGGGAAGGGTAGGAAATTCAGCACTGTGGCCTCCACATTGTCCATATCCACAGTGTCGCCACCCAGGCCAGTACACTGGATGCCACCCTCTTGGGTCCCCCCTGAGCCAGGAGACATTTACCTACCCAGACTGCTTGGGGAGGAACACTTAAATGCTCCCCTCCCCATGGAAGGGGCTGCTGGGGAGCACAGGAGGAGAGGCCTGGCCGGGCTGGGGACTCAGAACCGTTCAGCATGGTCCCCCAGCTCCCCAGAGGACCTGAGCAGTGCGGTGCAGTGCTGAGTGTGGCCTCAGGCCCCTCTTGTGGTGGAGGGACCTAAACGACCAGAGCTCTTTTCTCTTTTTTTCCAGCGGGCGCTCGCAGAGTGCTTTCAGATCAAAGGTGAAGCTGGTGGCGTAACTCAGGACCGCAGGGCTTGCCTAGCCTGTGCAAGGCCCTGGGCTCCGTCCCTACCACCCACAAATAAAAGCTACCAGTCAAGGTTGGGTGTAATGGTGCCCACCTGTAATCCCAGCTATGCAGAAGGCTGAGACAGGAGGATCACAAATTTGATGTCAGCCTGGGCAACTTGGTGAGACCCTGTATCAAGATGTAGCCCAGGGCTGGCGAGACGGCTCAGTGGTCTAAAGCGCCTGCTTAGGCAAGCTTAGGCAAGCATGCAGGGACCTCGGTTCAATCCCCAGCACCACATGCCATGCCAGCCCCGCCCCTAGAGTGGGCTGAGCTGACCATTAAAAAAAAAGATGTAGGCCCGGCATGGTAGTGCATGCCTCTACCCACAGCACTTGGGAGGCTGAGGCAGGAGGATCGTGGTGAGACTGAGACCATCCTGGGCTGCAAAGTGAGCTCAAGGCCAGCCTGAACTGCACAGCGAGAACCTGTCTCCAAAGGACAAAAAGAAAAAAAGATGTAAAAGGCAAGGGTGAGGATTGTAGCTCAGAGGTAGAGTGCACTGGGTTCTGGGTTCAACCCTCAGCACTGCAAAAACAAGCTAAGAAAAGAAAAACAAATAGATGAAAAGTCGCCCCCCCCCCCCAAGCTTCACCTCTGGGCTGTGCGATCCTCCTCCGCCTTCCTGAGTGCGTAATTACTGCTGGGGAGCTGGGGGTGGGAGGGGCTTCTAGGTTTCAGAATCCTGGCTTTGATGGTTCAGTTTCTCAACCTTGTGTGTGTTTGGGGGAACAGAGTAGAAAGAGTCGAGCTGGTTGTGGAGGCTGAGACAGGAGGAGTTCAGGGCTAGACCAACTGCATAGTGAAACCTTGTCTCAAAAAGATTAAAAAATAAATAGAAGAGTTGATTAAGGAGTTGGAGGTATAGCTCAGCAGCATAAGTGCCTGCCTGGCAAGTACAAGGACTGGAGTTCAATTCCTGGTACCAAAAAAAAAAAAAAAAAAAAAAAAAAAA